CATAACCCATAGCACAGCAGTTGCATTACAGTCAAACAACGTCTCAAAAAGAAAAAAAAAAAAAAAAAAAAACCCAAAAAAAAAAAAAAAAAAAAAAAAAAAAAAAAAAAAATTAAATAAGGTGGTACAATTTTTAAAGTTGCAAATATGAAAAATGGATGATTTCTGCATGAAATAAGAAAAATTTGGTTTTTATTTGAGCAATTATAAGGATTTGTCATTTTTACATGCTGTCTCATCATAGGTTATTTTCATTATTTAAGATGTTATTTGTATTTTAAATTATATTGTTGAGAATGCTATAATAATGTGTTGTAATTCTTGACATGTTGCCATCTCTGTTGGTGGACATCATCTCTGGGTGAGTGATTTGCTTGTAAAAAATTTGTTTTGATTTATTTACATTTTATATAGCATTGAGATTATATTACATAGAAGAAAACTATCATTTTTCAGTGATAAATATTCAGTAATGATAATGTTAGCAATGGTATAGCTGTGAAATAAAATAATAAAATTTATAACTGTTTTCTACTTCTGTGACTTCTTCTAGATGTATTGAACAAAAATTTAAGCGCTGCCCTCCCCTGCCCACCACCAGTGTCATAATAGTTTTTCATAATGAAGCGTGGTCCACGTTGCTTAGAACTGTCCACAGTGTGCTCTATTCTTCACCTGCAATACTGCTGAAGGAAATCATTTTGGTGGATGATGCTAGTGTAGATGGTAAGAAAGCACATGCAAATTAAATTGTTTCCCAAATCCATATGGTGGTATCCCAAGTCTACTTGATTATATGGTGCTCTCTCTATGCCATCTCAGAGCTTGAATGTAATAGTTTGGATAGTGGGTATGCTGAATGAAATTAGAATCCAAGGATGGACATATTCAAATATTTTCAAATGCAGAAATGTATGAAACACCATTATTCATAACTGTATAGTCCTCAATGCGAGACTGTTATTGTAAGACATAGAGGTTAAGAGCACAGACTTGAGCCTTTGAGTCAGGCTGCCTTGATTTGAATCCCAGCTCTTTTCCTAACCAACTATATGACTTGGGCAAGTTACTAAACCTCTCTGCCGTGATTTATCAGTAAAATGGGAATAATGCCATATTTCATCAAATGTATTATATATCATTAATTTATAAATTACTAGAGAAAACCCACAGCTAATTAAACTTAGCATGCCATTGATTATAAGAAATTGATTATAAGAAGAATCCAATTATGTAGCTTAAAACTGAGGAAATACAGAACTGGTACATAACTTCTAGAGTTGTTTTAAAGTCTAAATGAGTTAATATAAATAATATATCAATAAATAATATAAATGAATAGTTAAAAATCACTAAAGAGTCACCGTGTTCTATTTTATTTCATTGTTCTTAAATATTCCAATATTACTTACCAGGTTAGCCAAATTCTTTAGTACATTTACACTTAAAATTGGAAGTCAAATACTAAATTACACATTTTAAATTGGAATCACAAGGTGAATTTAACAAATACTCTAACTTGTAAATTTTCAAACATCACAAGTATTTTAAATATTGTATCAAACAGATACATATTATTTCAATGATTACAAAATTTATTCCTTAATAAATCCAAGTTTGGAATCAGATTCCTGAAGGTCAGATGTCTCATTTTATCCTTCCAGCAATGTCTTGTGATGGTAAGTCCTACTATCCTCATCTTAAATAGACTGAGATGCAGAAAAGGTAAAATTCCTTGCCCAAGATCACATAGCTAAAAGTAATTGTGCTATAAAGTGAAATCAGGGCATCTGATTTCATGTAGCTTTCTGTTCTCAACCTCCCAAATAAAGGGTGTGCATGGGAGCTAAATTTAGGGTGCAGATATAAATTTACAGGAAGTTCCTATGTTGTGGGTAAGTTAAAAGTTTTTTTTTAAACAAATTCCAACAGTGAGAAGGTATATTGAAGGAATCTGTAGTAACTCCATTTAAAATAATTCTAATCAAGAATGTTGAAATTTTTACAAGTCTCTTAAAACAGAAAATGTTTATGATTATGTATTTAAGATGAGTTAAAATTCTGCTTGTCTTTCTGAGAATTATATCCGAGGTAGTTAGAAGGTGTTAAAAGCTTAATCTGAGAATTATTTTGAGGTAGTTAGAAGGTGTTAAAAAGTTAATCTATCACTCTGAGACAACAGTGTTTAGATAGATTTATTTTTCCACAAGGGTTGTTCCTGCACTTACCTCTCTTATGAATGTTTAAGCTTTAAATAAGCAGCTCTCTTAACTGAACTACTGGAGAATTGAAAAAAAGGTTATATTATCACAGATAAAGTCAAAGTCATCTGCATTTGCTTCTAAAATCTGGCAGAAGAAAACTTTTACCCCAGGATATTTATTGATTTTCTTAACATTCCCAAATCTTTTTGAGGCTATGTTTTGGGCCCATGAAGGCTGCTTGAAGAACTGCATTTTGTACTCAATAAGAAATCAAAAATGTAATTGTGAAAAGCAAGCTTAAGAAGTTGTTTCAGAATACGAACAGCTCGGCGAGTGGCTCAACCTATAATCCGAGCATTTTGGGAGGCTGAGGCCTGCAGATAGCTTGAGTTCAGGAGTTCCAGACCGGCCTGAGCAACATGATGAAACCCCGTCTCCAAAAAAAAAAAAGAAAAGAAAAATTAGCTGGGCGTGTTGGCACATGCCTGTGGTCCCAGCTACTTGGGAAGCTGAGGAGAACTGCTTGCGGCCCAGAGGCAGAGGTTGCAGTGAGTTGTGCCACTGCACTCCACCCTGGACGACAGAGCACGACCTTGTCTCAAAACAAAACCAACCAAACAAAAAACAACACTTGATTGACATTTATTAATAACTTTTAAAAAACCTATTATCTCAATTTTTGCTTATTACAAACCTTATCCAATTTGGGATATTGAATATCTTAAAGTATATACCCTATACTAAAATTTGCCTGGTTCATATTTTACTAAATAAAACTCCGTCAGGAGACTCCAAAGCTTTCGCAAATTTTTCTGCTGATTCTGTGTAGGAGTCGTCCGAAAATGCTGTAGCCGTGGACTTTCTGACTTGTCTCAACATTTTGATCTTAAATTATGTTGATCCTTAGTTAAATATGAGAGGTCTTTTGATATTTGACATTTTTCTTTAAGATTTCTAGATTTAAAAACGTCAAAGCATTGAATATCTTTTTGACCAAATTCCATATCTTTCACTCTGATAGTCTTCTCAGACCTCTAAATGAGTCTTCTGAACAGCTAGGGTTGACTCCATTTGAAGGTTCTCACTTCCCTCCCAACACATCATATTTATTGATAGGAAGTGTACAGAATAAGTATGTGTTACAGTGTTATGTGTTACAGTAGTGATCATTTGCATAGCTAGTCTTTTTCCCCAGTAAGGAGTTAAAGATAAAATTTTCATTTTACTGGAAGGACACATGCAACTGTTAAGATTATGAATTTGGAAGGATCATTACTCTGTGGTTTCATTAGCTTTCATAAGCTATATATGAAAATAAATTTAGAAAGAATTAATCCTGATTTGTTTTTCCTTACAGAGTACTTACATGATAAACTAGATGAATATGTAAAACAATTTTCTATAGTAAAAATAGTCAGACAAAGAGAAAGAAAAGGTCTGATCACTGCTCGGTTGCTAGGAGCAACAGTCGCAACAGCTGAAACGCTCACATTTTTAGATGCTCACTGTAAGTATATATGTATGGATATGGTTGTAACATTTTCCCTCCCTCTGTCTCTAATTTAAAAGGTAAGGAAGGCTTTTCTTTTCTAAATGCCTAATTGCATTTTCTTTAACAGCGTTTTCAACTGGTGATTATAGTAATGACAGCCCAAGCAGATAACAGCTTAGCGGAGAAAATTCCTTTCACTTATGCAGAATTCTTACCTCCTTTGTGTTTAAGTTTCCTCAACTTTAATGTTCTCCAGTTACTAGCTGTTCCAGCCAGTTATCCATGCCTAATTTTTTTTTCATGTTTCTTTTCTGTTTAAAAAAAAAAAAAAAAAAAGTTGTTTTTTTTTCTTTGTTGTTGTTGTTTTTGATTCCCACACTTTGAGTGAAAGCTTATTTACTACTTAAATGTGGCGGGGCACAGTGGCTCATGCTTGTAATCCTAGCACTTTGGGAGGCCGCAATGGGTGAATCACTTGAGGTCAGGAGTTCATGACGAGCCTCGCCAGTAAGGTAGAACTCCATCTCTACTAAAAATACAAAAATTAGCCAGGCATGGTGACGTGTGCCTATAATTCCAGCTCTTAGGGAGACTGAGGAATGGGAATCACTTGAACCTGGGAGGCAGAGGTTGCATTGAGCTGAGATTGTGCCACTGCTCTCTAGCCTGAGCGGCAGAGTGACACTCCATTTCAAAATGAATGAATGAATGAATGGATGAATGAATGAATGAATGAATGTAATCCACCCTATCATTAAACTTTGTCCTAGTACTGCTGCTTTTTTATATTTTAGTTTTTTTGTTTTTGTTTTTTTTTTGCAGACTCCTTGGCATAAAAAGGAGCCTGCGAATTTTCAAAAAAACCCACAAAACCAAAATATGTTTATATATATATAGTTTTTATGCTGGGTTAGGGGTGCCCCATCCCATCTTCTTTGGTATCCCTTACATAAACATTGTCAATTTTTGTTTGACTTTGTTGCTGTTGGTTTTTCTTTGTCCTTTAATTTTTTTCAGAGTCAAATTTTTTAAAGTATTTAGAAAGCATTTTTAGAGTTAATGTGTCATATGCATGCTAGTTATTACTAAAATGTCATTTAGTCCCTTGAGCTTTGAGTTTAGTGGGCTATACTCTATGAATGTCTAGCTTTGAATTGGCCAGTGCTTAGGTTATGTTTCACCCAATTACTGGTTTTGAGCACACACTGATTATTACAGAAGGGCTTTTGCATGTGCTTGGGTTGCTTAGAGCCATCACATTCAGTTCTCTTTTAATACCAGACATTTAGAAAATGAAGAGAAGACTAAAGGTAATCCTAGAGAGGTGTTTTAAAAAGGAAAATACCATCCTCTGGTATTTCTTCTCGTTGTTCAAAATTACAATAAGATCATACTGGACATTCTTACCCACTACCCACTGGGTGAATGTGTCTGATGGTCCTCCTGGACCATGACTGCCAAATACTGCTTTGTGGGGAGCCCAGAATAGGACAGCACTTCATTGGCTGAACTTGCTGTGTGTTATCTAAAACAACCTAGCCTGTGAGCAGGGCCCAGACCTATCTCAGCATGAAATTCCTTGGCCCTCCCTTTATATTAGGTCTGGGGCAGCTTTGAATGGTCCTTCTTCTCTAGTTGCTAAAATCGGAATTTATACTGACTCCTTATTTTCTCCTAAGACCCAGTCAGATAAATGAAAAATTTCAATTACTGTACCTTACTCAGGGAGACACAAGTTTAAATAAATCAGAACACGTTTAGGGCCAGGTGACGTGGAACAGCAAAAAGCTACCTTTGATTCAAAGGTTATTTTAACACATCATCTAAACTTTAAATACACTAATGTTATTTTGCATCTTTTGTAGAAGAAAGAAGGTCATCATCTGTAGGGGAGTTTTTCTAACTGTACTGAATCTTGTTTCACCTTTTTCATCCTACCTTAATCTCATCACAAGAAACCTTTAAGAAATCTCACCTTCTGGGGATCAACTGTACAATGTGGTGATTGTAATTCATAATAATGTAGTGTCTACTCAAAAATTGCTAAGAGTAGATCTTAAATGTTCTTAACCACCCACTCCATAAGCCAATAAGGTGATGGATATGTTAATTAGCTTGATTGTAATAATCATTTTACAATGTATACATATATAAACACTATGATACACACTGTAAATATGTAGAATTTTTATTTTGTCTGTTATATCTCAATAAATCTGAGGGAGAAAGAAGTCTCCATTATATACATGTTCAAAACACAAGTTGACTCTGTTATTCTCATTTCTCTGTAAACCTTCACCTAAATAACTAAATAACAAACTTCGTTGTTTTTATTGAATTAGTTAAAATTCTGTTCCCTCCAGGTGAGTGTTTCTATGGTTGGTTAGAACCTCTGTTGGCCAGAATAGCTGAGAACTACACAGCTGTCGTGAGTCCAGATATTGCATCCATAGATCTGAACACCTTTGAATTCAACAAACCTTCTCCTTATGGAAGTAACCATAACCGTGGAAATTTTGACTGGAGTCTTTCATTTGGCTGGGAGTCACTTCCTGATCATGAGAAGCAAAGAAGGAAAGATGAAACCTACCCAATTAAGTAAGATGATTGCTCTCAGAGTTTTATATTTACACCCTGTACCATACATTGAATACGTACACACTGTTTGCTTTATAGCGATTGCCTCTGAGGTAATTGATAAAGAACACACATATTCTATATAAAGAGAATCTAAAAGTCATTCATTTGTGTACTCACTTACTCATAATGTTGCTGAGTAAGAGGTAGCAGTAAGTGAGCTCTTATGTCCTCCTCATCAATCATTACTTAAAAATCTTAAAGCATGATTAGGAGAAGACATTTAAGTTTGTTCCAATGGGAGCAGACACGAGGTACTCCCCCCGACCCCAAAAATCTTGACTTTGAAGATAGCATTTCTAGTTTTTATTAATCTGAATAAAAGCTTTGAAAACATGATATGGCTTTAATTTTTTAAATTTGATTCAGTTCTTAAAATGTGCTGTTTTATCTTGTTTAGTTTTTATAACAAAATTTGACAATGGATTATTTTTCAGAACACCCACTTTTGCAGGAGGACTTTTTTCCATATCAAAAGAATATTTTGAGTATATTGGAAGTTACGATGAAGAAATGGAAATCTGGGGAGGTGAAAATATAGAAATGTCTTTCAGAGTAAGTTTATGGGAATTAAATATTGCAGATATATTAAACAATGAAATGTGTTCTAATTGGCTGGTACAGATGATTACAGATGTGCGCACTCTACTTTTTGTGCTTTCTAAAACTTAATTGCTGGAAATTTTGGAATAAGAATATTTTCTTTTAATATGTAACTTAATAGATTTGTTCATTGTTGCCAATGTAACAAGAGGAATCAGTTAAACTCCTGTGTCCAGGCAATAACACCAATTAATGCACTTGTAGCTACTGAATTCCAGCCAAGATAAATATAATTAAATCTAGTGCTTCAGGAAATGAGTTGATCATCAAGGGAGTTAGAATGGAAAAACATTTATGAATAATTTTAAAGGACATTGGACTTAACTGTTTGGATTGAATGAGCTGGATTTTTTCTATACATAAGTTAATATAAAAAAAGGCTTTGGGTAGACTCTGTATGTACCTTATGTATTTGATTTCATGAGTTTCATTTTCTGCAGTAACTTTATCATTCATTTTTCATCTCTTAGGCTGGAATGTAGTGGAAAAAGAACTGAACTAGGAGTTAGAAGATTTAAGTTTTGGCTCTGGCTCCATCACATACTGGCAGTGATGATCTCAGCCAAGTTTGAACTGCTTATGGCGGGGTCTTGTTTATTTATTTCAGTATTTCCAACCCCTAGCACATGTTGGGTCACAAGCACAGTTTGTTGAATTGAACATATCACTGAGTCTTCTCATTTGTTCAAGAAAGAAGGGAGAGAAAGAGATTGTAATCACTTGCTCTACTACTAGCACATAGTATTAAATATGACTTATTTCCTGATTATTTGCTTGGTAACTATGGCAGAGTCAATTATTAAGATATTTAAGTGAAAAGGCATTGATTTCATGATTTGCCATTTTATTTAACATTAATGCAAATCAGGGGTTTTTTGACATTTTATCTCTAAATTGGCATGAATTTTTAAATAGTCATTCACTACTTTGCAAGTTCAATAGAATGGTCATTGGTAATAATAGCCATCTGGAATTGTTTTCTTAGTTACAAAATTGAATATACAAGAGGTAAATAGGGTCTGAGTCCACTTCTACCCAAGCTTAGAAGAGAAACTCTAGTTTAAGTGAAGGGACTATGTTGGTAGTTCAGACGAAGTCAAATGCGTAAGAGCCTTTAGTTTTCTGTGCATATTAGAGAACTTACATAATTATTTGCAAAAACAAAAGCCTGGAATTCATTTTTATGAAAAATCTGAAATCACCATTTTGTTAACTTACTGAAAATGCACTTCTGTTGTCTTTAGTGTCTATGCCATTTAATGAAATAATTCCTTACATTTAAGAACTTAAGTTGAAATGGCAGGGGACAGAGACTATTTGTAATATTGTAATCTCTTCTTTAATTTTGTTTTTCATAATATCTTAAAGGTGAACTTAAAAGCAACAATTTGATTTTTCTAAAATACTGTAAATTTAAACAAATATCATTAATTATCAGGTATGGCAATGTGGTGGGCAGTTGGAGATTATGCCTTGCTCTGTTGTTGGACATGTTTTTCGCAGCAAAAGCCCTCATAGCTTTCCAAAAGGCACTCAGGTGATTGCTAGAAACCAAGTTCGCCTTGCAGAAGTCTGGATGGATGAATACAAGGAAATATTTTATAGGAGAAATACAGATGCAGCAAAAATTGTTAAACAAGTAAGTTAAAGCTAAGTAGTTAAACTGCAATAAAACCTATAACAAGTTCACATGTCCTTTTGCTTCAATTCATCTCAAGTACAAAACATCAAAAAATTTGAAAGTAGATTTTTAATTTTAACTCTTAAAGTACATAACTTAGGAATCCGAGTTTCCATTTTTAAGAAAAAAGCTAAATTGCTTTTTAAAAATCAGGAATTCTACTTGATGTTTTTAATATGAAAGATATTTCTTTTCTTTTTTTTCTTTTTTTTTTTTTTTTTACTCAAAGAAAATTAAGTGGAACTGTTTTTACTGGTTTTAGGAGATATAACACCTAAATAAAAACACCTAAATAAAGATTCTAAGTGACTTTTTGCACTGGAGATATAGTGTCTTAATGTGGCGTGAGAATAAACCAGGAGTGCCAAGCCTTTTTTTTTTTTTTTTTTTTTTTTTTCCAAGCTCTAGTTTCACTACTTACTGGAGATGTTACTTTGGCAAAGTCTTTGAGAATGTAAAATAGGGAAGACACTTCATAGAGTGGCTGCAAGGTGGCTGGACATGGAGTGCATGCTTAACATGTTTCTTTTCTCTCCTTCTGTGTTTTAAGAGATGAAATACACATCCTGCCTCTCTCCCAGAGTAGCTGTGAAATAAGAAAGTGATAAGTGCTAACAAATATATGGTACTCTTGTTATTAACCTGCCATAAATAGATTCTTTTCTGCAGAATCATGAAACTTAATATATTAGAAGTAAGTTCTAATAGTCTTACTAATACTAGATACGGTAAATTAACTAGATAGTTTAAGACCATGCTTCAGTGAATAGTACTCGTCTCTTTATAGGAAATAGTGCTAATTTGCAGGGCGAGGGAAGGTGGAGTATTTATTGGGAGTCAAGGGTATCAATATTTTGGCTGTTGTGGTAAAGAACGATTTGGTTACCTCTTTCGCCTTTTCTTTGGTCTCCAGTATCTCCCTGTTAGGATGCAAATTCAGAGCACTATTGAGTTAGATTGCTATCTTTTTACCCAAGGCCGTGAAGACAAAGTGATAGCACTTGGCTAAGCAGGCAAGTGGGCACTAAATGAAGCTTCTGCTCTGCTTGTCCCCCACAAAGGGGCACACAAGTCAGCAAATACCTGTTTGTTACCACAGGACACATAGATCTACATGGTAAATGTAATAAGCTAGCCAGAAGTCCTAAAGACTCATACTTTTTGCTGAAATGCCTGGGTTCAAGACATCGAAGTTGGCATAAGAAAATATTTTCTTTAGTTGAACTGATAAGATTGAGTATTTACTTTTGCATACATTTAGATATTACATGTACTTTTTCTCTAATATTTTGCCTGTAGGTCAGATACCTTGAAGTTTAATAATAGTTTTTTTTTTTTTAATTATTTTCTTAGTCGCTTAAAATAAAGGAAAATAAAATTCATTTAACTTGAAAATTGCCTTTTTATACTAAAGGTTCAGTTGGGGATATTGTTAAGAACAAGCAACATCCTGAAACTAGAAAAGTTACTCCCAGTGGGTTATTTCTTGCTGGTGGTTTTCTGTGATCTCGATGGAGAAGAGATAGAAGTTGCATTGTGTATTGGCACAGTTTGTCTTTACCTGATTTCTCACACCTCACTTTGCAGATCACTTTTAGGTATAAAGTTGGGACCAATTTTGGATGCGCCTACCACCATTACTTTGCCCACAACGTTTTACTAGAAATCTTTGTCTTGTAGGGAATGTTTGTGGCACAAATGAAGAATAAAATAGCATCATTTTAGTATTTTAATCAGCACTGAAGTGGTCTTGACTGTCTTTTAAAGCCAGAAATGAACAGGCAGACATACTTTTTACTTGAATGAATGATGAAGGCTGTTGAATTGCCTCTTGAATTTTTAGCATGGATTTTTTTAAATACCTAAATAGAAATACAAATAGTAGCATTTTAAGTACTTTCTCAATATTGTTTTAATTAAGCATTCCCTTCATTTCTCATCTTTCTACAGAAAGCATTTGGTGATCTTTCAAAAAGATTTGAAATAAAACACCGCCTTCAGTGTAAAAATTTTACATGGTATCTGAACAATATTTATCCAGAGGTGTATGTGCCAGACCTTAATCCTGTTATATCTGGATATGTGAGTATTTTCCTGTTCCTTTTTTACTTAATATACTCCTTGCCACCAACCTTTATGGTTCTAAGAAAATTGCTGAAATACTTTCTGGTTTATTGCTTTTGAGATTTTACATTATAATCATTAACATTACTTTCTAAGTTATTTTAAAAATATATAAACCACATGGATTAAAAAACTTTTCATAACTTGAAAATTTTCCTTTAGATTAAAAGCGTTGGTCAGCCTCTATGTCTGGATGTTGGAGAAAACAATCAAGGAGGCAAACCATTAATTATGTATACATGTCATGGACTTGGGGGAAACCAGGTGAGCACTCACTGCATTAAAAATCCTTCACTTGTAAAGCATTTACCAGCACAAGTGAGATGTTGCCTATATTTCAGAAGTCCCAAAGCAGCTTTACACTTGGGTAAGCTGGTGTGTGAAATGTTTTTGGACTGAGTTTGGCAATTGATATTGATGAGTATTTTTTTGTTTTTTATTCTGGCTCTGAAAACAATTTGAGTAGCTTAACCATTCTAAGAAAAAAAAAAAAAAAAAAGGAGGCTGGGCAGAGTGGCTCACACCTGTAATCCCAGCAGTTTGGGAGGCTGAGGTGGGTGGATCACTTGAGGCCAGGAGTTCGAGACCAGCCTGGAGAATATGGTGAAACCTCATCTCTACTAAAAGTACAAAAATTAGCTGGGTGTGGTGGTGCATGCCTGTGTTCCCAGCTACTCAGGAGGCTGAGGCTGGAGAATTGCTTGAACCACGGAGGTGGAGGTTGCAGTGAGCCAAGATCATGCAATTGCACACCAGCCTGGGTGACAGAGTGAGACTAAGTCTAAAAAAAAAAAAAAAAAAAAAAAAACGAAAATGAGAAAATAATAGAATAAGCCATTTGAATTTTTTTTAAAAAGAAACTTCTATTTAGCTCTTTGATGCTTTGACTTTTGTATGACTATTGGCATGATAATTTTGCAAGTTTACACATAAAGGCCACATATAACTGGATTGAATCACAAATTACTTCAAGTGTTAATAACAAAATAGAGCATTATAAATTAATTTTGTGGGCCACAATATTATTTCAATATGTTCCTCCTTCTCCCACAAAAGAGGATGATTCTCCTTAATTAGTGACATCCCTGCTTTACTACCTTTTGACGATTTTACTGATTAAGATTCAAATGTCAAATATTACTATTTAACGTGCCTATGGGTAGAGAACATGTTATATACAAAGTTTCTGTTTTTTTAAGCTTCCTTTCCTTACCTTTTGCAAATTAACTCCTGGAAAGATTAGACTATTTCTCTCATTAGTTCATTCAACAAATTAATTGAGTGAGCCCTGTATGCCAGATACTCTGAAGAGTTCAAGCTATTTAGACTCTAACTCCTTTAGGAAATCGGTAAACTAGCAGTTCCTGAGGATAAGGCATTCAGAGTGTTCTTGGGGTATAGAAAAGGGCATCTGAATGAGAGTGGGTGCCACACATTTTCCTGAGAAAGATGACATTTGAAAACATTAAAAAAAAAAAAAAAGTAGGTAGGAGCTAGTGAGATGGCTGTTGGGAATGGCAACAGAATAAGAAGAGTGTGAAGGAAAGTGAACTGAAGAGAAGAGCCTGGAGTATCTCTTATGGGCATTGCAGTTATTTCGATGTAGAGTCCAAGATGTATGTGGAGGAGTTTTGCAATAATTAATATCCATGATGTCCTATTTTAATGGGACGAAACTTTGAGATGTCAGTTTTAGGAAAAAAGAACCAGTTTATCTCCTGGTCCATCCTCTTCTGTATTTCTTCCTACCCATTAGGCTCAGCTTAATCTAGTTCTAATCCTTATTCACCTAAACCAATCTTTCTACTGAGGGCAGACGATACAGATGCCCAGAAACCAGAGCTGGTGAACTGGATCTATTGCTGGATGGTTAAGGTGTAATTCTGAAATAGGATGGAGATATATATGGACACATATAGACATACATACATCTATACCTATATATACATATATCTGTACATATATGTGTATGTGCATAAATCTATATGCATCTTTTTAAGAATGTTGTTACCCTTCATATATTAGAAGAAAAATAGTTACATAAATAATTGCATTCTATGGAAATAACACTGATCTATGCTTGTAAAAATTAAGATTTTGAGCAAAAGGAAATATCTCTGCATTTGTAAAAATCTTATCACTAAATGTAAATCCTTATAAATTTCTCTTAGGCTTCTTCTAGCATTACGTTTATTTCATCTTAAAAGCTGAGGATATATTGTACACATTGCTTTTTTCCATTTTTCTGTTATTGTCATAAAGATAATAACAGCTTTATGATAGCTCTGTATCAAAAATATGTTTATATTTTAAGTAGAATATAGCTATCTTTTAGAAATTGGGGGATGGGAAAAATTCACATATTCTTTCAATAAATATTTGTTTAGAACCTATAAAGTAGCTTGTAATGACTGTTACCGTAGTGAAAAGACAAAGCTCCTGATCTTGTGGAGCTTATGTTCCACAGGAACAAAGAAAAAAATATGTAGTTTTGGGCATGAAGAAAAATATAGCAGGTAAGAGAATAGTGTGTTTTGGGGTGAGGTGGTTATTTTAAGAGGTGAAGGAAGACCTTTTTGGAAAAGCGACCTTAGAGTGGAGGCCTGAATACTTTGAGAGAGTGTTCCAGGAAAAGATGCTCATCTTGGAGGAAGGATTTCCACGGGTGGAGGCCCAGAGGCAGATACATGGAGAAAGCAGACAGCCAGTGTGCCTAGAACAGAGTGGTCTAGCAAAGAGAAGTAGGAAATGAGGTCAGGGACATTGATAAGGACCTGATCATGTAGGGCTTAACAGGCCCCATTAAGAAACTTGGACTTAATTCTGAGTTTGACAGAAATGGTTGAAGAGTTTTGAACAGGAGGATAAATATTATCTGGTGTACATATTAAATAGAAAAATTTGGCTTTTGTTACCCTAACACAGCTATTGATTTTATTTTGGTTCATTTCCTTGACATTTTATTTTTAATCAAGCATTGCACTTAAACCGTTTTGTAAATTTCAGTTCCCTGAGTGCTAAAATTTCGTGACATTATATAACTTGATCATTTTTCATGTTTCCTTTTACTTTTGATCAGATAATGTCTTTATAGCATAAAACTTCATTGTAACAGTATTCATGTATGCCAAGTAAAAATAAATATTTTGGTTATGTGACTAAGTTAGCCAATATTACTAGAGCAATGCAGTTTGAGTCATTATAACTTGATTATGTTTACTGCTTTGCCTCTTCCACTTTCTCTACTCGTTCTAAGTAATGGGCCTCTCCAACATTCTTAGCTATTCAATTATGTGCTCTTTTTTGTTACCAAAGTACTTTCAATATTTTCAATTTTTTATCATTTTTATTTTAATGACTTTTTAATAATGGGTAAAATACTTCACAGCCTTTGTTACCATCTTCGAGATCTTAAGGCTTCTCTTTCTTAGCCAAATATAGCTAGAATGCTATTTTCATCATCTAAACCCATTTTCTTCCAGTGTTTCCATCTGAAGAACTACTAGTTATAAAAATGACTGATGTTTTGCTTGTGGGCGGAGATAAATTAAGCATGAGACTAAGAGTAGGGAAACTCAAGATATGTGGCTCTGTGAATTCAGCAAATGTTTGTAGAGTGCCTGCTCTAATATACATAAGGAGTTTAACACAGTGCCTGCCTCGCATGTAATAAGGACTTAACAAATACTAATGCTCCTACTAATTATTTCATTATTGAAAATCAATTATGTTAACTTATTTTATCTTTATAATGTCAATATTATGAAATATTGGATTTGTAATGGGTTTTATGACTCGATAAATTACCTGACTTCAGTCTATGGGGAAGCCAGCTCTATATACCACACACAATTCTAATACAGTGCTAGAAAAGTTATGTCTGATGTACTATGGGAACCTTGAAAAGAGTGTAATTTTGTGCAGCAGGGCAAAATCAGGCAAAGCCAAAGAAGGAAGGTAATATTTGAGTTGGCTCTTGAAGGATTAAAAAGGAGTTAGCCAGGCAGAAAAGGGTCAAAAATATATTCCAGGCAGAGGACAGACTGTAAAGCAAAATCTTAGAATTATAGATACACATGTTCTGATTGGTGGAATTGTGTGAAAGAAGCATAATATATAACTGGGGCAATGGTTGATGTAAGATCAAAAATGATAGATTTCATGTACCAATTAAGGAGTGTGGACTTTTATCTCAGCAACAGTAGTGATTCACTTAAGCAAGGGCAGTCAGGGATCAAACCAATGTTATAAAAGACTATCTGGCAGCAGATTGGATTACTGGATGATAGGAACAGAAACTGGAGGTAGCTCTAGGTGTTTCAGTAAAATTCTGAGAGTCTGAGTAACAGAAGTGAGTACACGGAAGTAAGAATGGATGGGATGTTAACATCTGAGAGAAATAGTACAGCTAAGGGACTAATTATTTGGATATGTGGAGAAAGAGAAGCATCAATAGTAACAATAGCTAAAATGTATGAAAAGTCACCATGTGCCAGTCATTGTTCTAAGTGTATTATACATATTAACCCACTTATCTTCATAACCCTATGGGGTAGGAACTAGTAAATTATCCATTTTCAAGTGAGAAAACTGAGGCATGGTGAACACCCTGAAGTCCCTAGTTTAGTGAAAACACCTTTAATTGAGATGAAGAAGAGCAATGGAACACTTGTGGGAGAGAGGCAATTAAAGTGCTTGTTAGCTCTTCATTCCCTTTTCTGAGGAATGCCTGGGGTAGTCTCCATTCTCCTTGATAACTTCCAACTTGTGGTATGGGAGGAAGACAGTACCTTCTTAATGAAGTAACCAACTGTTGGTGAAGGAAGGCTATTGTATCGTCTATCATAAAAACTCAGTGTATGTTTCTGATAACTATTTTTATTGTATTATTTTGTTGAAATAGAAATGACTTCATTATTTAATGAGGTGCTGATTTATTTATTTATTTTGCAACTGAGCACATGGGTTGCTTTTGTCAATAACAGTGTATTCCTTCCATAGTACTTCGAATACTCTGCTCAACATGAAATCCGGCACAACATCCAGAAGGAATTATGTCTTCATGCTGCCCAAGGCCTCGTTCAGCTGAAGGCATGTACCTACAAAGGTCACAAGACAGTTGTCACTGGAGAGCAGATATGGGAGATCCAGAAGGTACCTCAGTGCAATTAATTCATCTCTTAAACTGTTTTTCTTAGCTCTACTTGCTTATCTGGGAAAATGAGTGGAACATGGTACATTAATATTATCTATCAGAATTTCTCTCTTTATTAACTTTGTTGTTATGTGTTTCTACCCATGTGATAAGAGAATATATCTATGAATTAAGTACTCTCAGTAACAAAACATTAAGTTGCTTGGTTGAACCATGATGCAGATGAGCACTTCTGTGAATTATTATTAGTCGCTTGCTTTTTACAATTTAGGGTTTCTTATAATGCTTTTGGCAACAGTCACATTTTTTTTTCTGGCAGAGAGAAGAAAAATTATTATATCTTCTCACTTGAAGAGATTAATTTTTTTCTACCCTGTTTTAGCACTTTTTCATGAACCTAGAATTGAGAGAATACATAACAGGTCTATTCTGTTTTTAAACATGTTTAAGGCTTAGCTGTATTGTAGCAATTCTTACCCGAACATTGTTTTGTGCAATACTAGAAAACCTTAACACTGGCTTTTATGATTTATGATGTTTTTAAGAGTTCGTCACTTACGAATATATCAAGGGAATACTTCTTGTTTGAAAATGTGATTCAAACCTTGTTCTGTCTGCCTCTCTTCATTATGTAATACCTTACTAATTGAACAGTAGTAGCTTAAAAAGGTGGCATTTTCACTAGAAGTCAAAAAGAGTTTATCAGACGTGGCTCACCTTAGAAAGATTTACTATTAGGTTTGCTTCAATGAAGCCATAAAATCTTTTTCATATTTATCACTTAACTATGAGTCTTGAAATTTAATGTCTGTTGTTTCCTTTTATTCTAGGATCAACTTCTATACAATCCATTCTTAAAAATGTGCCTTTCAGCAAATGGAGAGCATCCAAGTTTAGTGTCATGCAACCCATCAGATCCACTCCAAAAATGGATATTTAGCCAAAATGATTAAGTGTTCCTTAAAATTAAGTTGAAAAAGGAGACATTCTTTCTCATAAAACTGTGACTAGGCATACACTGTAGGTTTTGAAAATTATGCAAAAGCAGCTAAATGTAACTTATTCCAAGTGCATTTTTCTTATTTATATCTTAAAATATCTATGTAGCACTACTACAGAAATTCTGCAAGTTTCTGTTTCAAAGCACAGTAACTAGTAATACCAAAGACTATTTCAAAATGTCCAGATGTAGGGGAAGAGATGTTTACAGTATGATGAAAATAATTTTCGAAGTAAAGTGATGTTTGTGTGTTTTGTACACTTAGGGATATATATAGCTACATTCACACACTCACAATTTAAAATATTTCCCCTAGTTTTTTGGGGGGATAGGAAGAAAGATTTGTTACTGTATTTTTTTAACTATATAGAAATAGATCAATGAAGGTCAGCATTGGCCTCTGTGTACAAACCAAGAGCTTTTACAGATCCAGAATTTATTATTTTAAAATGCAGGTGAATTTTTTTTTTTGCCTTTGGTTTACTTGTCTGCTAAATGTTTCTTTAAACATGAAACTGAATAAGGAGAGGAGTATTTTTAACACTTAAATTTCTTGGAAATTTTTAAACCATTTTTTAGTCTGCAACCCACTCCACTTGAAGCACTTAAGTCTTCCTTAAATGACTTTTCTTAAGTAACGATACTGTGTGTTTTCCCAAAGCACTTTTAAAAACACTTTTATAAATTACTATCTGTTGAAAAGGTGTCCTTTTCCTTTCTGCTAGTGTTTTTTTTCTTACCAAAATTCACTAATCTTGAATGTTTGTGATATTAAATTTCAAATGCAGAATACTTGACTCATTTAAAGCTAAATTTTGTTACTGATTTAATTATAATTGTAATGGATTTTTGACTTTGTAATGGATTCTTTTCATCAAAAAGCCTTATTTTTTATCTATATAGAAAACACAATAAAAAGTCCTCAACACTATTGTAATTATTTGATTAAGTGTTTTTCCTCTTTTGGGTAAAATCTATAATTGATAATAGGTGGGGGAAAATGAATTTTATATGCTGAATTTCTAAGCACCTATCGTTTGTAAAGCCATCAGATATTTCTTGAGGCACAAAAAATGAGGAATAGCAAAATTTCTGTGTTCAATATTTAGAAAATTTTGTGTTAATTTCTGATACTTTTCCTTGAGCATCTGATAGATGACTTTTTTAAAAAAAATTGATGCTTGCTTAGGAGATTTAATACTTTTTTTTTTTGGTTTTGATCATTTTATATTTAGATCTATTGTATTCTTGTTCCAGAAGTAAAGTATGATTGGTTTCATATTTTAAATCTGCCAAAGCCTCAGCTGTACAAAAAAGAGCATATGTTGGTTATTGACCCCATCTTCTCATTGTTTGTTTGTAGGTTTGAATTTGTATTAAAAAGCCTGCATTCCGAGCTGGACATGGTGGCTCAGCCTCTAATCCCAGCACTTTGTTAGAAAAGGTGGGAGGATCATTTCAGCTCAGGAGTTCCAGACCAGCCTGGGCAACATAGCAAAATCTCATCTCTACAAAACATAAAAATAAAAAAATGAAATTAAAAATAAAATTAGATAGGTGTGATGGCACATATCTGTAATTCCAGCTGTACAGGAAGGTGAGGCAGAAGCATTGCTTGAGCTTGGGAGATTGAGGCTATAGTTAGCTATGATTACACCACTGCATTTCAGTTTGTGTGACTGAGCAAGACTCTTTCAAAAAAAAAAAAAACACAAAGCCTACATTCTCCAATTGATTATTTCAACTAATGTGTATTATGTGCCTAATTTTCTACCAGAAGTTGTATTGGTCCGTTTTCACACTGCTGTTAAAGACATACCTGAGACTGGGTAATTTATAAAGAAAAATGGGTTCGATGGACTCACAGGTCCGTGTGGCTGGGGAGGCTTCACAATCATGGCGGAAGGTGAAAGGCATGTCTTACATGTTGGGAGACAAGACAGAATGAGAACCAAGTGAAAGGGATTTTCCCTTATAAAACCATCAGGTCTCGTGAGACTTACTCACTATCACAAGAACAGTGTGGGGGAAACCACCCCCATTATTCAATTATCTACTACTGGACCCCTCTCACAACATGTGGGAATTATGGGAGCTACAATTCAAGATGACATTTGGGTAGGAACACAGCCAAACCATATCAGAAGAGCTGGTAGGCAGAGTAAGACTTGTTACTGCTTTTGAGCTATGTCTCATGGGTCAGAAAGGAAGGCAAATAATTTTAAAGTAGATAGTACCAGTAGGCATGAATATCCATGAGCATATATTTCTCTTAGAGCTTATATCTCTAAACACAAAATTATTTCTCAAATATATTTTATAAATGAACTTAAGAATATTTTTTAAAAAACCAAAGTGAGTGCCCTGCATGTATCACTCATATGTTGTCATATCATGATCCAACTGAAATGTACTTAGATTAGGTTGATATTATTATGGGAAAGTCCTTCTTACCTGATTTGGCAGCCTCAGGCTATTGCTCAAGTTTCATACAAATCATGTCATTAAGGACTGGACCTTTAGGGTAGGCAGTGCCTTTTAAAAGTCTGAGTTTTGGAACAATGATAACAGGGAGTTATTTATGGAGCCTGGCTGCCATCCACCTGAGACTTAACTGCACTCAAGTGTGAAATTGTGGAATTCTTGCTCAATTTGAAGCTGCCATGGCAAATGGTCTGGTTGCTACAGAAGACCTGGCATGCTGCCTTCATTCCAGAGGACCAAGTCCTAAGAATTCTAGGTTGGTAAGCTGCACTGCCAAATCCACTAGGGTTAACCTGATGGGCAAGTCCACTGAAATCTGAGAGGGGATCACATAGTTAACTATAGGAGAAAATAAGCAACACACTAAAATTGCCTATTACTATAACCAATGATGATGGATTTTTTTAAGCCCTTATATTACCAGAGACTAGTCTTGAACAATTTAGTTAAGTACTTTATATACCATCAAAATATAAGTGCAAAAAGGACAAGGTTGACTTTATAAGAAAGGCTAGAAAAAAGTCAAATCATTTTTAAAATGCTGTTATGTGTAGATGAGAATTTTAAAAGATAGGGAAAACAAAAATCTAGGAAGATTCTGTACTCAGATTGCTTCACAATTCACTTTAAAGACAGCAGAAATAAATATCTTTAGACAATGCATTTTTAGTACACTTTGTGCAGGAAATATGTTTGCAGAACTCTCAGAAACCAGTTCATACTCCAATAAAAGGCCTTGACTCTACAATAGAATATCTGTGAAGGAATTAATGTACATACAAATGTAGCGGAGTGTGTGTGTGTGTGTGTGTGTGTATTTGAAATTAAAATATTTGACATCTTTTTTATGAATTTATATTTTAATTACCTTTCCCAAATTATCAACCTACCCAATCTTCCCTTTTGCAATCCTACAGTCCTACCTTCTCCATATCACCAGCCCAGCTGCTAAAGAGATTCCTCCTGCACACATAGTCCCTCTTGCTCTCCCGGCTTCCACAATATCTAGGAAATTTTTTGTGTCTGCTTTAGGGATTTTATTAGGCACCAGGCACTAATAATATACAAAATAGTCCCCATCTGAAGGCAGAGAAAGTTATAGTTTAGTAATGTGCTCATCAATGTGGTCTCATAATGATGTTTTAAAGAGAAATAGTCCCATGATGAATTCAACATATTCACCTTCTGGTGAGTCCACTGACAAGAGCTAGAGGAGAAAACAGGCATCCCATATTTTAGAGGTAAATAATTAAAGTAATGCTTCTTAAACCTTATTGTACACACAATAGTAAGATTCTGATTGATTAAGAATCAATCAGATTGAGTAAGATTCTGATTGATTAAGAATCAATCAGATTGAGTAAGATTCTGATTGATTAAGCCTGGGGTAGAGCTTGTAATTTTGTATTTCTGACAAACTTTCAGGTGATACCAAAGCAGCTGGCCCTGGTACCACACTTTGAATAGAAAGGCTACCCAGTGAACTAATGCCCAGGGTTCTCTGAGACTACCATGATGATTCTAACCATGCTTGACATCCGTAATTACTTCGAGTACCACCAGAAGTCAATGCCTCTCTATCAACCATTATCATAATTATTCTTCCCTGGTAGCTCCTACATCCTTTGTATATCTCTAAGTTGATAAATCCCCCACCTTCTGATTACCTTCTACTCGGCAAACTTCTTTGATTAGAAAACTCTTTTATGTCAGCAATTTTGTCTCTGAAAATTCTACGTATTTTCTTGCCCTAACTGAAACTGGACATTAATTAAGGATACATCTTCCAATTCTAGTGAGGGTTATTGGTTTTTGTTTTTGTTTTCTGTCATTCCTCTTGTACTTCAAGGCTAGGATTTGGGATAGGTGTGTCCTTCTTCAAAAATGCCTCAGCTTATTTGAAGCCATGTCATGTGGATATATTATGCCCTACCCCTTCGTGGTACTGTCAACCATGAATCTATAGGTCATTTATCTTAATTCATTCCCTACATTAATTGAATACTTTAGTTCCTGTTGGTCTGTCTTTCTTTATACCTCTACTTGTATCACCCTATGGGTGACTTCATTATCGGTGCAGATAACTCCAGCATTCTGAGCTCTCAGTATTTGACCCACATTTCCTTCCCTCAACCACACATTCGCTAGTCATCACTAGAAACCATATCTTCTCTAACATCTTGATCACCTTAACCTCTCTGACTACCACCTCCTTTCCTAGCTCATTTATGCTAGTTCTTGCTCTCTAGAAATTTTTTTATATCTCTTCAGGACTTCTAAACAATTGATTTTGCTACTTGTTCACTATCATTCTCCTCTAGTCTATACTTTTATTCTTATCCAGAATGGTTTTAATATTTCATCATTGTAACAACTCTCTTTCACTGTCAATTCATGTGTCTGTTTTCCATCGTGCTTACCTAGAAAACCCCAAACCCTGGATAAACCAAAATATTTGCAACCACTACTTCTGCATCCAAACAATTGTCATGCTGGGCACATTCACCATCTTTCTGGGGATATCCTGTTTCCTCTCTCTCTTTCATATGTTAGGTCTCCTGTTTTGTGTATACTATAACTTCCTCTTTCTTGGTTAACTTCCTCATTTTGGAGGAGTACATTACACAGTAATGTTCTGGGGAATGGTTTAGGATGCATACAGTTTGTGAGACCTTTCTATCCAAAATACCTGTGTTCTACCCTCACAATTAGAAGGTTAGCTGAGTATAGATTTCTTGGATGGAATTTCTTTTTTCAGTATTTTAAAAGTTTTGTTTTTTTGTTTGTTTCTTTTTTTTCTAAATTTCAGTATTGAAAACTCCAGTCTATTTTTGATTCTTGATTCTTTGTTAGTATTTTATTATTTTCACTCCAAATACTTATAGATATCCTATTTGCCCCAATGTGTTAAATTTCACTGTAAGTCTTATATTACAGTATGCTTTACTGTGCTCTTTAAATACTCATGTATTTAAATTATGACAATCTTTTCCAAATATTTATTAATTTTATCCTTTGTAGTCTCAATTTCTTTCTGGGAATCTTATTATATCAGACCCTTAACATATTGATTCTCTAGTCTATATAGGAGGGAAGATTTCTGACCTATATTTCATCTCTTTGCATACTCCAGGATGTATTCTTAATGTACTCCTTTAAGCCTTCTGTTGAGTTTTTCTTTTCTGTCATTTGTAATTTCCAAGAGCACATTCTTGTTCTCTGAATTTTTCTTGTATACCACTATTATTTTGTGAATGTGATTTTTTTCTTTTGTCTTTCTGAGATTATCAATAAAAATATTAATGGTAGTTCTTTTTTGAAAGGTTTCATCTACTTGCATAGTCTATTTCCTCCAAGCTGCTTTTCCCCCCCTATTTACTCTCTGCATTTCATAACAGATGCTTTCCTCTAATGTCTGGTGATTTATAATTGTTTATATTGAACAGAGAATTG